CGCCCGCCCTGCGGAGGCTGCCCGCGCTGCCCCGCGAAGGGCACGGGCCGCCCTCAGGCAGAGCCCTGCCGCGAGGGAGTGGCCACCTGGAGCCGCTGGGCCCGATGCTGCGGGCGGCGGCAGCGGGGGGCGCGGCCCCCCTGGCCCTGCGCCGCCGTCGTCGTCGCGCCGGCGTCAGCGCCGTTTGCAGCCTCGGCACAGCGGCATCGGCCGCGGCCGCTCGCCATTCGGCCCCCCCCCTGGATCGGCGGCGCCGACGGGGCGAGCCCTGAGGGGGCCTCGCCGCGCGCGCCCCCCCCGCGAGCTGGCCCTCTGCACTCGCACTGCGGGTGGCCACGCGCAGCAGGGCGAGCGCGCACGCGAAAGAAACGCCATTCCTCCGGGTCACATCGGCCATCTTGGAGTTGCATCTGAAGCAAATAGTATTGCCATCTGGCGGCTGTGAAGCGGGCCCCCCGCCGTGGTCGGCTGCCTCGTCGTCTCCCCTGCGCGCCCCGTTCTTGCGCATCTGCCTCGGTGGGCTGAGCATCCGCCACTGCCGCAAAGCGGGTGAACGGCCACGTCGCCGCGGGCGCTCATAGCCATGAGGTCCAACGCGTGCCCCCCAAGAACGCCATCCGGGCACGCCTGGCACTGCCGCGGGCCCCCGCGCAGCAGCTCATGCACGTTCGCGTGGGGCTGCCCGAGCATGACCATGCCTGCGCCCAGAGACACCATGCGCCCCCGTCGCCCCCGCTGGCCCCGCGGTGGCCGACCTCCACGGGCGCGGCGACCCTGGACTGCATCGCCCCTGGGATGGACCAAGCCAGGGCCGGGAGGTCGGGCTCCTCGCCCTCCCTGAGCAGACCGACGTCAGCGCCTCCGCCACGGCGCCCCCCCCTTTAAATATCTGTCTGCCAGATCTCGAGGGGGGACGTTGCTGGCGCCAGGCGCTCCTCGATCTCCCAGAACGCCTTGACATTCATTACATTCAGCCGCGTCGCCCGGCGATCGGTCACGCTCCGCGGCACGCGTCGGCCTCGCCCTTCATCTTCTGCCGCTGCTCGGACCGAGCGCGCGCTGCCTGCCAAGCGCGCGCCAGTGCCGCCACCTTCGGGCGAAGCTCAATACCAGCCTCCGCGCCCAACTTAAGCTAGTCCATCGCGGGCGCCCCGACGTCATCGCTCGGGTTTACCACGCTGGCGAAACCCCCCATACTCGTCACTCCGCGGGCACAGAGCATCGCCCACAGGTACAACGGAACCCCCTCTTTGGCGAGGAGGAAGCGCAGGTCCGAGTTCGGCAGTTCGAGCGCATTCCCCTGCTGCTCCCGCGCGAGCGTCGGCGGCGCGCTGCCGAGACGCTCCTGCGCCAGCGACGCCGGGGGCCAATCAGGACTGCACCAGAGACCACGCGGGCCTCAGTCCAAGCCGTTTGAGCTGAACGGGCGCGAACCGAGCGACGGCCCTTTCGGCAGAGCGCTGGCGACGTGCAGCGCGGTCCCAACCTTGCCCGTCAGCCACGGGGCCCCCTCCCCCAACGCGACGGCACCCCCGCCCGCCAGAGCCACCCCCCGCTCGCGGCGGACGGGGGCCCGCGAGCGGGGCGGGCGTCGTCGACGCGGGAGGGCGCCCACCGACCGACGAGAGGTTCGGGGCCGCCCCCTGGGCGAGCGGAGAAGGTTTCCACCCGGGCGCAGCCCACCTTTGCCGAGAAGGGACTTTCTCCGGTCATTCCTCGCGCGGGCACGAGAGCTGCGTCCGGTGTCACGCCAGCGCGCGGGCAGGGCCTTTGGCCCGCTCGTCTCGAAGCAGCGGGGAGGGGCCCCGTGCTGCCGATGCCCTTACAGCTGCTCCGCACGGGGGGCGAGGGGGGGAGCCGCCGCGCCCGCCCCAGGCGGTCATACGGAGCCCGCCGCCGCCGCGGCCTTCACCGCGACAGCCCCCTCCGACCTGTCGGAGCTGGCGGAGCTCGACGAGCTGCCCGAGTCGTCGTCCTCGCACTTGACGGCCGCCTTCGCCAACTCGGCCGAAATCAGACGCCAGCACGTCTGCCAGACCACGTCGTAGTCAAATAGGCCTGGCAAGTCGTCGCAATAGGTCTCATTCAGCGGTGACCTGCCGTTCGCCCAGGCGCAGCCCCCAACCTTGTGGAGCCTAGCCACCTTGCGCTCCTTCGCGCACGCAAGCGGCTGCCGGTCTCATCCGCGCCCTTGCTCTCAAAGGGGGGCGTCGTCTCAAGGTCGCCGATGTGGACGTTCGTCCAGCTACGCCCGTCAACGGTGTCACATCCGTGATGTGCCTTCGGCAATCTTCGCAGGGGCGTCGCCGTCCCCGCCGTTGGCGCGACGTCATCGAATTCCCCATCTTCAAAGGCGGCCTCTGGGGGTGCTGCCCCGCCCGGCTCGCATTCGTTGTCCCATGGCGCCATCGCCAACCCGCCAGCGCAGGCCCCGAGGACCGCGAAGGTCTCGGCTGCCACGCTCGCCGTCTTCCGCACCGAGAAACTCACCAGCAAGCTCTTAAGCTCCGGAAGGGCCGCCGACTCGTCCCGAGCCACGCAGGTCGTGCCTGAACGCAGCCCCTCTGCAAACTGATTCTGGAGCTTGGCCACGACTGCGCGGTATGTCCTCGTGGAGGTGTCCGCCCCCTCTGGCGACCATGTGCCTAGGTAGTCGCGGCCAGTCCTCGAGACCCCCGCCGAGACCATGGCTGAAGGGATCGTCGCCCGCTCCGAATGTTCGGCTCAAAAACCAACGACCTGAACGAAGCGGAGAGGAAGAGCTCGATCACTTCCCCTGTGCACCGCAACTCGTGTGGTGATGTCCTTTGACCGCCGCCCCTTAGCGGCTTCACCGATTCGCCGGGGTCCTTCCGGGAGACACCGTGCGCCTTGATGGCCCCGATGTCCAACTGAATTGGACGAAAAGCAGTTCAAATAGCTGCTTCTTCATCTGACCTGCGGTCATGGTGATCTCCCCCGATAACGTCCCATTTCCTCCTTTTCCTCCACCCTTTGTTCCTCTGGGTTTATCTGGCCCGTTCATTTCGTGCAGCGGGCTGTCAACACGATGTTGTTTAAACAATTGGCTACCAGGTGTTTCTGGCAGTCGTTTGTGACCATCGTCTGAAGAACAAAGCACCGATACGGTATGTAAGAGACCGTCGTGTATACGAACTGCCACCGCAACAATATCGCAGTGTGACCGGCCCCGACAGGGGTTGACAGAACTGGGTCCCCCCCTCGTGGAGGCTTGAGCCACATGTGCGGGGGTGCGCTGGCATGTGGCGGTGGCGGGGCCACCGTGCAAACTTTGCCACTTGGGCCTTCGGTCGGCCTCCCTGTGGGGCCACAAAACGGGTGAGGCATGTGCTCGCATGGGGTGGGGCCGCCATGCAAAATTTTGCCACTGGGGCCTTCGGTTGAGCGCCCGATGGAGCCACGACGCGCGTGAGGAGTGTGCCCGCATGGGGCGGAGCCGCCATGCGAACGCAGTCGCACGTGGAGCTCCCAATGCGGGCATTGAAACGTATGAGGGGTCTGCCGCAATGGGGAGGGGCCCCCTGCGAACGCAGCCACGGGGACCTCCAGTAGGGCCACGAAACGAGAGAGCGGGGCTGCGAAACGGCGGCGAGGAAGAGGACGGTGGTAACGATGATAAAGATGATGATGGTGGCGACGATGGCAACGACGACTATAATCATATAATTGATGGTGATGCTGATGGTGATGCTGATGTTGATGCTGATGCTGCTGATGACGATGTTGATAGTGGTGATGGAGGTACTGGTGATGATGCTGAGATCGATGCTGATGCTGGTTTTGATGTTGTTCTTGACAATGAAGATGATGATGGTGATGCTGATGATAATGTTGATGATGATTATGATGATGATGCTGATGGTGTTGACGATGATGATGATGACAATGATGATGGTGATGACGATGATGCTGATGATGATGATGCGAAAAACGACGACGACGACGATGGTGATGATGATGATGATGATGATGATAATGATGATGATGAAGATCATCATCATCATCATGATGATGATGATGATGTGTGATGGTGGTGGTGCTGGTGCTGCTGCTGATGGTGATGACGGCGCTGACGGTGACGGTGACGGTGATGGTGCTGATATTGTTGATATTGTGTATGGTGATGATGATGTTGATGCTGAGAATGGCTTGTGCTGGTGATGTTGTGGCTGCTGCCGACGGTGGAGATGCGATGATGGCGACGATGTTGACGATGATAACAGTCATGGTGGTGATGATGGTTGATAAAAGATGATGATGATGATAATGATGATGGTGATGATGATGAGGATGACAATGATGATGACAATGGCGATGACAACCAAGATGAAGATGACGACGACGACAACGATGATGATGATGGTTTTGATGATCAAGGGTAGAATGAAGATGATGATAACGATGATGCTTATTATTATGATGACGACAATGACGATGACTACGACAATGATGTTGATGATGATGATGATGATAGTGATGATGACGAGGTCGATGTTGATGCTGGTAGTGCTGATGGTGATGACGATGGGTAATGATGGTGCAGGTACTGGTGCTGATGGTGTTAACGAAAGTTAACGATGGTGTTGATGGCAAGAACGAAGAGGAAGAGAAAGGGATGCTGATGGTGATGCTGACGTTGATGATGACAATGATGATGATGATGATGATGATGATGATGACGATGATGGTGATGATGATGATGATGATGATGATGATGACGAGGAGGAGGAGGAGGAGGAGGAAGAGGAGAGGAGGAGGAGGTGTACGCGGATGGGGACACGCGCGGCGCTGCGGATGCAGAACGAGGGCCCAGCGCTCCAGAGGCTGGGAAACACCAGGCCGACGGAGATCTGGGCACGATCGACCAACCGTAGGGGAACAAAAAATGACATAAACATAAAAACTCTGAGGTCCGCGCGGACCTCCGAGTTTTTATGTTTATGTCACTTCTTGTTCCCCTAAACCGACCCGACGGCGTC